AAAGTTGCATGAACAATTCAGCAGCTACTTTGTAAATTATGAAGTTGCTTTTTTCTTGTATAGTAATTTGGCAGCAGTCACTGCAACAAAGGGGAAAGAACCTAAAGGTCACCTCATCCGTTTATCTGCAAACACAGTTGTGTCATTAATCCACATCCCTCCTCTGAGTTAGGCTTTGTTGGTTTTAATGGTTTGGAATATCAAGACAGAAAACCGATAGACTACCTGCCAGTTTTCTAGTTTAGTTAAAAATGTTGGTCCTAAGGGAGAGAAAACACTGAATTTAGTTCTGTAACAGCATGAGTTTCAGTCTTTCCCCTTTAGGAAAAGTTGCAGGATCCCAGACATGAGTCACCTCTTTGGAAGAAAAGGGTGGAATATTACAAATATTTTTGCCCAGGGGCTTCACCAAGAGGTGGGAGGGTTAATGGAAAGTGTCTGGTCATGCCATGCATCTCCCAGGCTCACCATTTCCAGCCTTGCCCATTTGTTTAGGAAGCTGTGAGTTCTAGTGGAATAGGAATGCTCAGGCAGTTTATACTGTTGTGTTCCCAGTTGCAAATAACACTGTGCAGTTCAGTTCAGCTGTAGACCATGGGCTGATAACCTAAATTATTATGTTGGGAATTACTTTCCCTATAGCTCAAAGTAATTAATTGACTCTCATTACCTGCTTTAGTTCTGGATTTTCTCATGAGTTTTAAACAGATCCTAAACAGATCATTTTGGGGAAGCTTTCATAGTGAGGATTATAAACATCTCTAAAGCAAGATCCTTCTTAGGAGGCATTTTCCTCTAGTTCAGTCTATTAAATATGTCTGAAAACAACCAACAGAACAGTAAGATCTTCTTGACTGACGAGCAGAAATTATTTACTTGCTTAATGGTTCATGGAAACTTGTGTTCCCAGCAGTCACGAGAGTTAATTATAAAGCCTTGTATCAGGTTAATAAAACCCAAAAAACCCCACATCCTCAAAACTTCAGACTATATGGCAAATCACTGTCATGGACAGAGATGTAAATACAAACCTATGTATTTTGAGGGAACTTGGAGCCAATCTTCTATAAATTGCCTAAATTACTCAGTGCCCACAGACCAAAGCCAACTGAATAAAGGAAAAAGTGCTCCTTGTTTTCATCGTTGAAAGAAATATGACTGGGCTGAGAGGAAAACAAGACTGGCACATTAAATATCACTGTTAGGAAAAGGACTACTGGTCTGATTGTAACTCCCATGGGATTCAGTCAACTGCCTGCAACCATGAGATTGGCACTGCTTAAATTCCCAGCTTTCCAGAAGGATGAAGCTCACTCCCTATTCATCTTTGCCACCATCTGAAGAATTAAGAGAGTGGCTGGTGATGAAGAGCCAATCAATCATGTTTCTAGTGACAAGCATGGCTGTTATAAAACAGATACTCTTACAGCACAGGGGAACCTCCCCCACGCTTTTTCTTTCTTCATTAAACACTTGTTGAACATTCAGCTCAGGTCCCCTGAAAACATGTCTAGAGAAGTGCTGATCCCAGAATTAAATCCCTTTCAGGGACACGCAATACAAGTTGCCTGTAACATGCCACTTGCAGGTATGGATCTACATGTACTGCTGTTCTCACAGCTGAAGTCATGCAGTTATTCCTTAAAGAAAGGCTTTGAGAAGTCTTCAGGGACATCCAGCTGTCTAGAAAAACAGCTAACAGAGATATTTACCTTTGATTTAGTCAATATTTGGTTCATCTGAATATTTGCTCTTTATGGTGGAATGGCTGAGGACAGGGACCAATTAGGAAATTTCTGGACCAAGGTCAGTTCAGGCACAGTCACTATGAAATGACTGTCAAAGATAACATTCAGAGTTTTCCACAGGACTAAGGAAAGACTGTGGAAGGAAGGAATGTGGGCTGAAAAAAGAGGAAGGCTTCAAACCAGGGAGTTTGAACTGACACACAAACTCTTGTCCTGGAAACAATGAAGTCTCTAGGCAAGAGAACCAAAGAAAATGAGTCTCTAAACGTTAAAGCCAAATTATTCTCCCTTGTGGGGAGAAAGAGAATCAGAGGCCTAGAGTAAATACTTGAGTCATCTGATCCACATGCTATAGCCACAACTCATTAGGTATCTGCTAATTACAGCTTTGAAAGATGCCATAGAGTGACACAAGGCAGCCCTAGATGTATTTAGTTAGTTTTACAACTGAGGAGCCTAAGAAACCCTTGGGTTCTTTCCTACAGTCAACAGCTTCAACAAAGAGCCTCTACATTAATTGCAACCACATCTTGTCTATTTTTATATATGAGAAACACCACAATCCTTTACAAAAGCCATAAAACAGCCATTATCATTTAGGGATGCTATTAATCAAGGCATTCTCGAGTGTTTCCCTTCTCAGCTCCCTTGCCTAGATTGCAGCCCAACAGCTCATTGGTGTTTAACTAGAAGCAGTGTGGCCGTGGGCAGCCCCTGCAGAGAGCTCAGCGTTTTGATTTCCCTGCAGGAAACACTGAGCTGTGATCCCTCCTACAAAGGGGAGACCCTCAAGTGTCTGTGGGCAATCCCAGCACCGAGAATGTCAAAAAGAATTGAAAATACCTACTTCGTTCTGAAAGTACCCTTCATATTGTTGCTTCTCCACTCCTGGAAAACCAGTGCAACAAGCAGAAAAGAAGCTGAATTCTCTTTGCACTACCCCAAACAGGTTATTTCTGGGATCCTGGAATACTTAACTGAAGATTAAGAAAAGCTTTCTAACATGAAGGGCAAGTGGTTGCCTAATGAAGCTGAAGGGTTGTCATTATTGGAGATATTTAAGGACAGTTCAGACAAGCCTCTGTTAGGAACATTAGTGTAAATATTCTTCTCTGGGGCAGGAGTATGGATTAAATGATATCCTACGATCCTTTCTGACTGTCTGACTCTACCACTCACCAGCCTACCCACCCTGCATCTTAACAGTTTTCTGCATCATTTTTAAACTTGCAACCCCTGAAGAAGACTGAAACTCAGTTACTTAGTAATAAAAAATGAAAAATAAAAATCCCCTAAAATAAATGGGATTGTTATCTGATAGAGAAGTAAAAAATGAGGCTGAAGAAACACATGATGAAAGAAGATACCAGAAGCACAGCAGTATAAATTAGGAGTCACAACGGCGATATAAATCCTGGGAGCAGGTTGGCAGAAACCTGACATTTTTCATTTCTCCACAAAGCCATTATGCACATCTACTGAACTAGAGAATTAGGACTAGTTCTGCCAGTTTGAGTCATGGCCAATTTAGGGGAGTTGCAAAGCTGCCCTGTCTTCGGGTTCACATTAGACACCTTCACTCTCCAGCAGCTTATTTAGTGCTGCAGTAGGTTGGCTTTGAAGCATCACTCTGAAACATTTCTCAAGGTGTCTAGAAAACAGTCCAGTGTTAGAGGAGTGAGTTATCTTCTTTTTTCCTCTGTGACAAATAAAATAGGAACTGCTTAGGTCAGACTGGTGCACTGCTTAAAGCTCCTGCTTTGAGATGTGCTTCTGAGCCTTGACACCAGCAGCCCAGGGCCAGGGCACCAGTTACCAGAAACACAGAGCCAAAAGGGACCTCAGTGGGTCCTTCCCCCTGCCCAAAAGATCCAGCACACAGGAAGAGGGTGGCTGAGCAGGGCCAGCCAGCAATAGCTTGGTTCTTCCATGTGGTTTTATGGGGCAGTTAACTTTTATTGCCTGGTAATTACTAAGGAAGGCTTAGACAAGCTGGCTCTCCAGCCCACATGGCAGCAGGCTTGTGTGGGCACTCAGCTCACAAAACTCAGCTGCATCATAATGTTTCAGAGGGGAAAGCCAGTCCATTAGCAAAGCCACGTTCAGGAATACAGTTTAGCCATACTTTGGTACTACCAGTAAAGGATATACCAACTCTCCAGTTAAAATCAAAAAAAAAACAACTTCCAAAAAGGAGCCAAAGAATAGGAAGAAGGGACAAGGTATGGGCTGCAAAGAAAAAGTACAAAATAGCACCACCACTGAAGCTGGTACAACAAGGAGTGAAGAAGAGGAAAGAGAAACCCTTAGAAGAGGAAAAAAAGCATAAATACTGAACATACTTGTTTTTCAAAGGAGAAGCAGCACAACCCAGGGGTACAACCGCCGTTGTTTAAAGCATTGGGAATTATTCCCAAGGAAGTCATTTGATATTTCCTCCTTCTTTACTGTTCCCTACTATGGTACTATCTCTTCACATCCTCCGTGTGTGTGAGCAGAACACACCAGTACTTGTAAGATCAGTTCTTCTCTGTAGAGGCACTGAATGTTTTTGAAACCATGGTGACCTAATGCCAGTTACCTAGTTTTGATTCTCTATACCCGTTTTAAACTTTACTTAAATCTTAAAGCTAAAAAGATATCAAACAATCCTAAACCATGTGATAAACATATGCCAAAGTCATATAATTTCCAATCTCTTCTGTTCATTCTTTGCAATAAAAAGGAAAAATTACAGTTGATTTACTGTGCACTCAAACTTTGGGAGAATCCAGGAACATGTGGGATCAGTTTAGGTCAGGATCAAAACCCCATAATTTAGCTGAGAGCAGCTTCCAAACTAAGCTCATATTTTTTCAGACTATATTTATAGTGCAGTTACTATGTGCCAGTACATCATTAAATGTCCTAAAAACTAAACCCACCCTATTCTTTATGGGGAGGGTTTTTTCCCCTTAAGTCAGAAATACCCATTCCAGGATAATTCTGGACAGGGAGAGAGAGGACTGACTTGGATTTCCACCACTCCATTTGTGATACAAAGCTGTCTCTCGTGGGCTGCTCTGTGTGTCTGACACAGATAATGATGCAATACTCCAGCATTCTGGTTTCTGTGCTGTGTGTTCAGCCACATGGTTCTGTTTCAAAGCCTGATTATTTCCGATCCTGCTGCATTAAAGCTGCAAACTGAGAAGAGTATTGTGCAGGAGACAAATTGGACAGGCATCAGAGGCCTTAGTTTAACATACTTACCGGAGGAGTGGTGTTTTTGATGAGTGTTCAGAGCTAAAAACTTCTCCTTATCACACAGAAGTTGGTGTCTGCAGGGGGAGGCCTGGGGAGAGCAGTGCTGCCTGGAAAAGCAGCCAGCTGAGCCGGTATCTCTCCCGAACAACAGCGGGACATGCTGAGCTCAGGAAGCTGGGGAAGAATGAGTGAAATCATGTCACTGACTAAATCAAGAGTCTACAGCTGTTGCAACGTCCACAAACTTATTCCAAACACAAAACATGAGCTGAAAATGCGCTATTTCAAGAATATTTTTCTCCCCCCCCCGGCCTTTTACCACTTGAATGTGTGCAGAAGACATAGTCTGAGTATTAAATGTTTTTCTAACAAGAAAATAACAGAGACAGAAATAAATACCCCGGGATTCGGGGAGCCAGTGCACACACAGCGGCAGGAAACACTGCCAGGTTACTATAAGCATTCATAAAATGGTCTCTAATGTCTGACTGGAAAGCACTGAACGTTCAGTGGGACGGACTGAAAGGCAGCCAACATGGCAAACAGCTCGGGTGCTTCCACACCAATAATTACCTTTATCAAACTTTAACTACTGATGCCAAAACATCTTCAGCTTCCAGCCATGAAATGGGCAACAAACACGCAAGTTTGCTACTTCATAGTAACATATGTTTGGTCTCAGGAGGTTAAACGCTCATCTGTTTCCGAACTGTGTTAAAAATCTAAAAAAAACAAACCCACAACCTCTTTTTCCCTGTCCATGCTGCAGAAACATGTCAGCCTGCACACAAATTATGGCTTTGCAGGACTTGTTATCTCTCATATTTCTCATGACATAATGGCCCTTGTGTAGACCTGCAAGGTAAAACAGAGTTTTAAACATGTGTAACAAAACTGAGCCTTCAATCAATGTGGGTTTGTTGACAGGAGGAAAAAGGCCTGGACACACAGATAACATTTGGGCTGAAGAGAAGTTCAGATTGCTGTGACACAGACAGCAAAGGGACAGAAATCTTGTTGCTTCCCAGAAACAAAGGCAAATAAGGACTAGATTTTTAACTCCACCTTCAACTCTAACTTCAGACCCATAAAAACAAATACAGTGTAAATTATTCTGTGAAGACAGACAAACCTGAAGTGAAGAACAATCCTCTCACTTGATACTGATTAAAAGAAGGGGCTGTACAACCCTTCTGATAGCCCTTAGTGACTTCATGGCACCAGCAGGTACTTTTGTCAGTGTGGCTTTTCAACCTTAGCAAATTAAATAAGCTAAATCTGCCAGTGATCCTATAGCACCTTTTTTTTCCCCTCTTTATTAAAGCACTCAGAAAGGCAAAAAAATCAAAACCAAACCCACAAATCTACCATTTCACTGCAGAGCTATAATGTATTAAATCATCGATATGAGTCAACAACATCATGCTGCTGGGAAAAAATGGAAAACCGTCCTGGGAAAAATAAACAAGTGTCATCTGTAGAACACATGGTGTAACACTCCCACTTGGCTCGGTGGTGGGAAGCAGGCGGCTCAGCTGTGGGCACCACCATCCCAGGAGGATGTGGACACAACAGGAAAAACCTGGAGAACAGGAACAAGGACACTGAGGGGTCTGGGGAAGGAGGTTATTAGAACAGGCTGAAGGCTTAGGGCTGTTTGTTCGAGGGGCAGAGCCCTCTTTGTCTTGGTCTCTGGACACGTGAGGAGCGGTTGGGAGGAAGGGAAGAGTTCCCTCTGTGCCCCCAGGCCCTTGGACAACATTAAGGTCACTGAGGAGCAGGAGTGTCAGAGACAAGACCAAGACAAGCACCCCTGCCGTGACTTTTAGTGTACCAGGGATTATAAATTTGTGCAGTATGATTTGGCTGCTTTCTGACAAGTTCCCCCTGACCTTGCTGGCCGGTGCATTCCCTGTACACACACACAAGCGTTCGCTCTGAGCTGCCTCAGCCCACTGCCAAAGCAAGAGTGCTCAGCACTTCCTTCTGGTGCCCACCTGGCCCTTGGTTTCCAGCTGCTCCACTTAGATCTCCCTCCCTTCTGTGTTTCCTGGGAATGCCTCATTAGTGGTTGGCCTGTCTTTCTCCTGAGCCTTTTCCCCTGGGAAATGTGCTGGGTTCCCTTGGCTGACTCACAAACACTTCACCAGGAGCAGCTAAAGAAACAGGAGCAACTTGGTAGTTTCCACAGCCTGACCAGGTTTCACAAAAGATGTGCTGAAAATTAAACTAACAACTCAGTTAAAATAAGTGGGCGGAACTGAAAGGACTTTCTTTGTGCTTAGAAGTATAGCAGTGCTATTTTTAAAGAATTATTTCTTCAGCTTAATTTTTTTAAATGACAACATTTCATTCAAATGTTACTGTACAAAGTTAAAATGCTTCCAAGCACCAGTATTCACTCGAGGCACCACCATTCCCATCTGAAATTTTAGGGAAACAGAGGGAGAGAAAGAGAAAAATCTTTTTCAGAATTGTGTGTTGATAAACCCAAAAATAGAAACATTTTCCAAGCAAATTTTCTACGTGCAAGCATCCCAGTTTCCCAGCAACTCTGTTAGTGACATAATGTTGACTTGGTGGGAAAGCAGCTCTGGACAAGAAACTAAGAGCTTTCTTGGAGTCTATTCATAACCCTGCATTTGCATTTGATAAATTGCTTCTTTGTTACAGCAATTCCCCTTTAACGTGATGATTGATTATTCTTGTTTTACACAAAAAATATTTGGTTTAAAATGCTAACCTTTCAGCATTTTCTGTACCATTAGGTCAGAAGTTCTGTCAAAATGTTCCAAAACTTCCAAGAAGTTGCTTAGGTATTTTCCTCAATTAAAAACCATCTTACATATGCTAAGTTTCTCTATATATTATATAAAACTGGCACTAACTTTTATAGCCTGGTTTTAATGGGTTTAAAACAAAATGTTTAATTATCTAGACCATTATTTAAAGCCAAAAGAAAGTGAGTTATAACATTGTTGTTGCCATAACAAGAAATAAAAAATTTTGTCTGGTGTTTTCAATTTATATTCCAAATATTTGTCAATTCCCAAAACTGCATTCACAATTTCTTGAAAGAAAGGCACAGGATCCAAGTTTCTTCTAATTTATGCAGTCGTAATTTTTTTTGACATAATGGAGTGATTCATTCAGCGTGAGCAGGACCACACTCTGAGCAAGCTGGACCTTAAAAACACATATTCCAACCAAGCTGATGCCAAGGGGAGTGCTTCCTTAGGACTCTTTAGCAGAAATTCATTCAGGCAATTCCTCTGCCACAGCTTCATCAGCCTTCTTGGGATAACAGTGCGAGACTTCTCCAGGTCATTTCGAGCTACCCCAGCAAGCGAGGTGAGCAATGAGGCAGAGATTTAGGTCCTGTCACCACTCAAAAAAGAAGTTTTTATCATTGTACTTCTGGTGAGGGGCACAACACAGCCCAGCCCTGAGATATTTAATAAAGAGTGGCCTCCTGTCACCTCCTTTCCAGGCCCATCCAAGCAATGCCTTGGGAACTGGGCACACAGCAATGAGCATCCACCTGCAGTTTGAGAAACACCCAGCCCACACATGCTCTGCTCCTCTGCATTCTCTGCTACTTCAAATTCAGCTTTTCCCCAAGCACTCCGTAAAATTTTTCTCCACTTAACCTCAAATTGCCTTTCTTCCCTGCTCACAACTGGAGCTGAAATGAAAAAAATAAGCTTGGCTTGTCTTGGAGCGTCAAGAAATAAAACCAGCTTTGAAACAACTGCAGAACAGCAGAAGTAGGTTTCAGTGGGACTTCTAATGTGCTGTGAATTACACTCGTGCTTAATTAAATTACCTTGCTGACTCAGAGCCTAAATTAATGGAATATACACTCTGTAGTGTTTCTTTGGCTTGGGTAATTAAAGAAAGTAACAAAGTGAGGTTTTTAGATCTAATGTAAATGGAAGTTTCAGTAATTAAGTATTTCTTCATTCCAGCACCTGGCATAGCTGTTTGGGATAGAGCAAATGTAGGAATAGGTGAACAAAATTCTTCAGCTGCTTCCTCTGCTACAGAAACCAAACGGGGGAATTCTTAAGAACCAATCCTGCCTCATCCTGATCCATCTGTAAATATTTTCTTTCAAGCCAATAAACGCTTTTTCAGTCTCCTTTGTACCCCCTGGTTCTGGGTTCCATTTGAAGCCAACAAGTGGGAGAACGAGCTATTTACTTATTTACTTTAAGCCTGGAAAAATGGGAGAGATTTTGAAAAGGCTGGTTTCTTCTTGAGAAGGGGATGAAATTTCACACTGGCTCTTATTGAAACCAGTTCCCATATCCCAGGCCCTTCCTCTCACTACCCCATCTCTCCCCCACCCACATAATTTGCCCATTTGTGCATCAAATGTGGTACAATAAATCTGACTCCCTGAAGACCGAGAACCCATTTCCACTCCGCTGCACAAGGGCAGCTCCACCCGGGGCTGTGAAATGGCACTAGGGCAGTGGAGGGTATGCTTTGCAGCATTAACTTGAATTAAACTGGGATTGAAACTAAAGCCCCCTGAACAGAGTTTCTTTTTGCAGCACCAATAAAATCTGCGTTCTTGGCAGCAGGGCCCAAAATCTGGCTGGTGCACTGAAAGCAGAAACCCTTCCCCTGGCTGGGGTCGCCCCTTTCCTTCCCGGGGCTGCCAAGAACCACAGGTCCCTGCTGGAGGGGAACACCCATCACAGCCTCTCCTGGTTTAGGGATACCAATCCATCTGCCTCTGTCCTCAGCTGATGGAAAAAAATGTATCTGGACAGAAATGAGTGAATGGGGAAAAAAATACTGGTAAAGTCATGAATCTTTCAAGGTTTTTGTTTTGATGTATAAGCTTAAGTCTCCAAGAAACCTTTCTGCAAGTTTGGATGAAACTGCAAATGTGATAAACTAAGCTCTGTGCTTTGCTGGAATAACCAAAATCTATGGACCACACTCACTTTTACTGAAGGAGACTGAGTCAGTTCAGTAGGTTTCTATACCAAGTGGTTATTAATGTTTCTTTGTTGTTACCTGGATTTATCATCCACTGCATCCACGTAATTCTGAAATCCATCTTTGTGCAATGGCATCTGGTACCTTATTTCTAGTGAGACACCACTGAGTCTCCCCATAAAGACCAGCTCCATAAAGCAGCCTCTGGTCTCCCACAGGACACAAAGAGGAATGAAAGACCATTCAAAGGGAATCTTGAAACTCTACAGCAGCAAGTCATACAGGGGAAAAGCAAGTGATGATTTGAAGAGCCTCTCAAGTTTCCTGCAGCATGGCATCAGCCATCCTGCTGGGAGCATCTTGTTCCCCCAGATGCCCCATTACTCACGGTGCTATATTGTTATGGTCTTCTACAAGCAGCACTGGCAATGTCAGTAAATAAACTATGGAAGCCAAAATTACTTTTCCTTCAAGATCTAGGAGGAGAAACATTGCCACCAAGGGATCGTTGTCTATTGTACCTTGCCTTTACAAGGATTTCATTGGGAAAAGCACAGATGCTGAAGAGAAAGGTAAAAACACAGAAAGGGGACTCTAGGGCTGTTTTATCTGGATTGCTATTCCTGGTATTCTGCTGTCAAGTCTCTCATCACTCTCTGGAAACTTTCTGGAATTAATAGAGTGATATAACACCTTCTGGTAAACTTGAAATCTCTTCAGCCTGCAAACAATTCTTAAGGGCCATACCTGCCTTGTTGCTTCCCGTCCCAAGGAAAACTTACTGAATACCCGGCCTTTAAATCACACCGATATCCCACGTGTCCAAAGCCCTGTCCTGGATTAGCCCGCAGTCTCCCAAACTAGCAAGTGAATCCACTCAGCTCCAGGAGAAACCCCTTTGTTCAGGTAACATAACCAGGTTGGCAATCACCTTCCTAAATGACAAATGCCTTGTCTTTTCCTGAAAGGAAACACAACTTTTGTGTTACACACAGGAAAAGCGCACAACCTGTTACATCAATGGATTTTAATCCCAGACCTCTCAATCCTCCTCTCCAAGAATACTAAACTCGACTACTTGCTATGAGTTTTACAAATTAGCATGGGTCACTGATCTGCCAAAGCCTTAATAAACTCCATTTATACGCATTATAAAATTCTTTCAGAGTCCTGTGGAAAAAATTACTTCTCCTGCAAAAAAAAAAAAAAAAAAAAAAAAAAAAAAAAAAAAAAAATCTGTAAAATCCAACCTTTTTGTGAATTGTACTTGCCAGCTGCATGAGAGCCCACCAAGGATATTACTCTAACCACAAAAGTCATGCTCTTGGAGATCAACCTCCTAGCAAAACTCAAATAAGAAAAATAAATCACTCCATCCCAAGTAGAAGTTGTAGATTTTGCTTTGAAATCCATTCCCCTGATCTGCCACGCTCATTTCTCTGAATAAGCTCCAGTCTGAATTCAGTTTTCTTGCAAGTCAAGGAGAAAAATGGCACAGTCACCCAGACAAACATTCCCCAAAGGCTCCCTTGTTGTGTGCAAGAGCATTAATAATGAGTTATCTCTACTAGAAGCATTTCAGCATAACACACCCTAGTGTCTTACTGGTGGGTTTTGATTTGCTTTGTGTTCTTGCTTTGTTTTTATAGCCACATAAGTCTCTGCTTCATCTGACTGTGTGGGTCAATCCCATGCAGAAAAAAAATGAGAAATAATCTACTTCTCCAGTGTTACAGCACATGCGGTACAGTGGAGGGTTAATTAACACCCACCTCGCCCTGCTTCCCTTGGAAAATGATTATGCTGGCTAATAAACCTCACAGTTATGAGGCTTTTATGAACTTACACACCCTGCAGTAATTTCAAGTGCATGTGAGGTTTGCTCAGCTGCTCGAACACCTCTCACCTCAGTCACCCTTTCTCCCTGTGAACTCAGGCCCAAGCAAAGCTTCCCATCACTGCAAAGTAACTGTGTGATTGAAAGGGAAGGAGATTCCTGCACATTCATTCCTTCCATGACTAATTGGAGAGTTTGGAGATATTTTTTCTTTACTGCTAAATGAAACTCTGCTGCCAGAGGCTGAGAGCTGGGGAGCTGGGTGTTTGACATGCCCTGGATTTATTATCTGATCTCCAGGTGAGCCACTTAAACCTCCAGTGAGTTTGTGTTACCAACTGTGAAACAGAAGTAACAATCACCACCTACCTTGAGGTGCCTTCAGCGTTCCAGTGGAAATGCCATCTCAAGGCATGGCAAGTACTGGCTGAATCTGTTGAACTGTAGGATCGAGTTCTTTTTCCCAGCTTCCCATGGAGGTTCTTGCCCTTAGGAAAGCAAAGAATGCAGAGCATGTATCTCAACGTGAATGTGGAGGTTCCATGAGAACAACCTTGGTGCTACACTGCCTGGAGAAGCTTGGAGCAACTGTCCCCTTTCTCCAGGAATATCAGTTTTGACATAAGACACTACAGTTGAACAAGAAGCAAAGGGGTTTTCTTCCTGCCAGCTGTAAAGAACCCACTCAATGCTACAGGGTGAAGAAAAGAAATCAGTGAAGGAAGCAGGACACACTGTTTCTCTCTCAACACCAGATTTCTGCTGCACACCACAAAACACTCTGAGAGAGACTCTCTCAGGAACATCCCACCATCCAACTGGTCCCTAAACTAATGCCCATGAAGAGTTTGCTCGTAGATGACTGACTCAACATGATGACAACTTTATTTCTTCTCAATAAAATACTTATAAGATAAACAAACCACATGTAATATTTTCCAAAACATTGCAAATAAACACTGTACCAATTTCAGCAGGGACCTTGTAGAATAGTAAAAAAGTGAAAAAGCTTGAATAAATATTTCTAAATAAAAACTGATAAGTTCTAAATAAGAACTGATCCATACAACGGCTTCTCCATCTGCAAATTCCAGAGAAAACTGATTGAGATCATGGGTGCCCCAAGAACAAGTGAGAGCTGCAAGGCATCATTCTGTGATTTTTCTGACTCTGGGGAAAGCAGATGTCAGAAACATTCTGTACTGCAGCTAAAACTGGCAGGAAAAGAAAAGCCAAACTGCTTTCCTTGACTTTAATAAATGAAATAATGACTATTTTTTGTTTCTGAAAGGAATTAAAGGAGGTTGAAAAAACAGAGGGAAGGATAAAACTTGCAATTTTTGATTTAGGAGATGTGCTTTCATGGTGGCCCATGACCTCAAAAGAGGAGAGAAAAATAGCATTTTTACCAACAAAATGATTTTTTTCTTAACCATCCTACACTTTGGCAAAATGTTTTAAGAGATTCTAAGTCATTGCAAACCCCAGTCACAGAAGGAAGCTTTGCACATCCACGTTCCAGTGCACACAAAAATTATACTGCACCCCTCAATATATTCTCAGAGTACTTGGCAACTATGCATTAAATATAACCGTGGTTGCACGTTGGCTCTTTCTTCCTGTACTCAGAGGTGGAAGACTTAGGAAGTGGTGTCTTTCATCTTCACAAGTTTGTAGGAGACTTTTTTATTTAGGATACACATTGCAAGGTTTGCTGAGGGGAAAGTCAACAAACTGTGCCTGGCAGCTGGAACACAGAGCAGAGAAACGAGTTCCTGTTGGGGCCGAGTCTACAGCTTCAGATTAGGCACCAGGAGAGCCCAGTGCTCAGACAGAGGAGCTTTGTTCTCATCCCAGAAAATCCCATCGTACTCTGGGAAGCTCCCACTCTCAGAGGGCTCATCACAGAGTTCTTACAGTTTTGTTTAGGGCTTCTTTTAGAGCTGGGAAGTTCCCAGTGACCTGAAGTGCTACAGCACTCCTGTCTCAGTGCTGAACTGCACTGTCTCCCACTGCTCAGGAGGAGTCCAGGCTGCCCTGATTCACACAACTTTATTTACAGTGCACATCAGACAACAGTTTGTGTTGATAATGATCCCCATAAAAGCTTTTTATATGCACATAAAATAGATTAACTCCCCACACTGTGGGTTGCCTTGAACATTTCCTGACCTACAGCTACACTTCTTTGGCCTGGTGAAGAGCAAGTCAGCACAACGTAGAGGGGTCTCCCTCAAGGACAGACGAGTCCTTACTTATATCCTGCAAAATTAGTTCCTTTAGGAGGAAGGATGCAACAGTCATAGTTCACATACCCACTGCAGCAGGTCAGTGTTGGGTCACAAGCTGGTATTGCTGCCCCCAGCTCTGCAATCTCTCCTCTTTCTGCTTCCTAACTGGTTTTCCATTAGAGCCAGAGTTTATCACATCAGCCTGAAACAGTACAGTGGGTGAAAATCATCCCTTTAATGAGGGCACAGAAAATTTGTATCAGACTATTCAGAAACTTCCACCATGAGAAACAGTTTAATTTACTGCTCTCAAGTGTGACTAAAACTGGAGGATCTGACCTAAAAAAACGATTATGTATTCTTCATGCTACACAAGCATGGCTGAATTTGCTTTATCTGACAACTTAGAGAAACACAAGGATGACAGCATTCTCTTCTTCACGTGGAAAGATGTCATCCTCATACCAGACTAGCTCTGTGTCCTCAGCCCTGCAGATCTGCAGTCCATGACTGGGATTCAGTCCTGATCAAGCAGTAAACTTAAACAAACCTGCAACCTTGGGAGGTAAGTCCACGAGGACAGTCCAGCCTCTTCCACACAAGATGTCTCTTCTCCAGCTCCTCGTCTCATTTGAAGTCCAACCTGAACACCAGATGAAGGCTAAGCTTTCAGAGCCAGGAGGAAGCAATTAAAAGATATATCCAGTACCTGAATGCTTCCAGGGGGGAAAAGGAACGGTCTGTAGCAATCCCTCACCTCTTTAAGAAGAGGGATGTAGGCTTTGCCCAATAATAAAAGTTTAATGGCAGTTATTTTATGTGCTGTCAGAGAGATCCCCACATGGATCCTCTGCTGGACTAAAATTCAAGACATTTAGACGCACAACACTGACCTGCAAGGCACAGGTCAAAGTCATACTCGCTATCAGGTTTTTATAAGGGTTATGTAGCAGAGCAATGTACAGGATGCAAACTTTTCAGAGAGGCAGGGAAGTTTTGGAAACCAACAGCTCCTTGTGACAGCAGATGGGATCAACTTACAACATTACAGATCTCACAGTCAGCAGGGCTTGCGTGTGCCCTACAAGAGATCTAAAAGCAGATTTCAGTGGTTGCTACTGTACTAGCATGACACAAACACACTAAAGCAGAGCTGGGTGTCCCCAGAACAGCATCCCTGGAGATCAGAGGATGCCAGGGAACGTGCTGCTCCTGCAGAATCCCAGCACAGGGCGTGCCAGGGACAGACAGTGTGTGGGAAGCAATGCCTGCAGCAAAAGGGGCTTCCAACCAGAGCACCTTGGCTGGGCTGCAACAGGGTAATTTGGTACTTTCCCACACGGTCAGCCAGCTCTCCTGGCCAGCAGGGGAGAGATGCAGCAGAAACATCTTTCTTTCAAAGGATTACTCCTGGCTCTGGAGGAGTTTGTAATTTCTGGCAGCCTTGGGATGGGCTGCGCAAAGGGAAAAGGAACCTCTTTGCTCCCTCTCCCACACTGTGTCCACCCAAGGCCCAGCCTTAACGTAGCTCTTAATAAAATAGCACAGATGTGCCCTGTAGGCACATAAAGACTAAGAGAAACAACAAAAAAGAGAAACAAGATGTTCCTGTGTGTTTCATAAATCGGTATATAAGCATAATGCAATCTACTATCCTAGATAGAAAATGAAATATCTCAAAAAGTATTGAATCCTTGGTGGATTTTCTCAGTGGATCGGCATGAAGCTATTTAGCCCAGATGTTTCCATAACTCTGATGCATTAGGAGCTGCACAGCATTGTGGCCAAGTGCTAACATAGTGAACTGTAATGTAAAACATGTAAAGATCCTGGCTTCCAGAGTGATTGGAAGTTTTCACTCTAACCACTCTGCTTCCTCATGCAGCTATATTTTCTTTACAATACCCACTTGTATTTCAAGGCACATGGAAGAAGAACTAAAACCTTCCCCTCTCCCCAATTAAAACCTAATTCTCTGGAAGAAAACACAGGGGCCAACTCGAGATTGACGTGGAGTTTTTCAGAACTGGAAATCTCACCTCTGAGCAGCAAATCTCATACAACAGGCAAGTGCAGGGCCAACAAGGCACAGCTGGGCACCACATGAGCAGGTGAAGAAGTGATGGTGAGATTTTTGATGACAACTTGGTGTCCAAAAGACAGAGTGTCTCGCTGAGAGGCTCTGGTTTGCATCTGTAATGGATTTAGGGATTTGTAGAGGTAGTTTTAAAGATATCTAAGCAGGTGCAATGTGTATGTTGGAATGGCCTGACCAAGGGAAGAAGCAATAATGGGAATATGAAGCAGCACAAAAAAAAAGTAACAGCATGTGCACAGAATGATGTAAGATAAAGAGTGCAAAGAAATAAACTAGAAATCTCTGTAGGAGAATAATGCAATAGAATACCTTGCACTGAGAGTCCATTTGGAAAAATCTGTCACTATAATTAATTATTCAGAAGAGTTTAAAATATTTCAGAGATGATTTCTACACAATCTACCTACCAGGATGAGAGCTGAGAGTTTTGTGATTCTTTGAGACCTCGGCAGCTTAAAAAGACAAAACACAACCCTAAATTAATGAAAATTAACTCCTGCTACAGCTCTGCAGTCACAACTCTGTGTTCATGTACGCACTTGTAACACCCCAGACCCAGAATCACAAGCTCAGGGGCTTAGCCAGGAGTTTTACTTTAAAATAGATATATATATATAGAGAGAGAGTTCTTTAATTCTTTGAGATAGCATCAAGAGAATAACCCACACACTTGTTCCCAAGAGGCACCTGTACTGATAATTTAGGGGAGGAAAAAAGGGAACTGGGCAACAGTTCAAAAGGGCACCACACAATCCAGACAAAACATTCCACCACAGTACAGACCCAGCACACATTAATCCACAACACTTAAATCAAAATCCAATCCCCCCAGCTTTAAGCTACCCAAAGCATCAAGAAAGAAGCAAGGAAAGAGAAGAAGAGGGAACAAGAAGAGAGAAGGAGGAGAAAGAGAGGGAGACAGACTCTGTAGTTACCATCAGATCCCTGTGGCAGAGCAGCTCTCAGGTGTCTGGATGGGAGGGCCCGGACCGTGTGGGGAGCACAGCCTTGGGTTTGATCTGCTCTGGGCCCTGGGGCCTCCCCCAGGCAGGGCCTCGGAGCCTCTGGTCACTCTGGGGCTCCAGGGCAGGGTGAGGGGCACTGTTCCCACTGTCCCTGCCAGGCTGGGCTGGTCAGGGGCTCCAGGAGCTGTGGGGTGTTCCAGTGTGGGCACTGTTCCCACTGTCCCTGCCAGGCTGGGCTGGTCAGGGGCTCCAGGAGCTGTGGGGTGTTCCAGTGTGGGCACTGTTCCCACTGTCCCTGCCAGGCTGGGCTGGTCAGGGGCTCCAGGAGCTGTGGGGTGGGGAAGTTTTCCCCAGCTGTTTGTGACTGGCAGCTGCTCCGGGGTTTCTCCATGTGGGCTCCAGGGGCTGCCATGAGGGACAGAATGCCACAGTCTATGGAGGGTTTGTTTCACTGCTACAAGAGAAATGTTTAGTAGCCAAATTTCCTATATGGCACTTGCCAACTATTCTGCCTTTTTTTTTCCCACCCCCCATGACAACGCAGCAACTTCTCATTCAACTCTGTTTCCCAACATAACCACTTTCAATTCACACTACTGGCTGTTAGTTTTATTTAAATTATTATGAGATTTTCAATTAATAAGATAAAATATATTTCAGAAAATGAGTTTGTAAAGCCATAGCATGTGGCAGAATTTGTCCTCTTATGTTACAGAGCTTAATCCCAAACCTTGCATTATTCCTGGATAATTTAAACCTTTTTAAGTTGGGTACAGCCCTTGATAGCTGTTGGACAAAAGCTGATGACATCTGTAACCGCTAGATAGCTCTCTTCTCTTTAACAACCAGAGTTATTATAATCTATTTAGGAAAAAAGTCAAACATTCACCATGTACTGGATTGTTCTACATTGTTTCTAAATTAGTGCTCTACAATTTAAACCCTAATTCTTGTATCATCCATATCATCCTCATCCATATCATCCTTTTCTCTTTGCCAGCTCAGAGGTTAAATGAAGCAACAATTGTTACATTCCTTTAAATCATAATAATTTCAAAAAATGAAACACATGGGGTAGTGAAAGGAGGTGCAGTCTTGAGATATCTCAAACTACACAAATATTGTCAAATAACCATTGTTGCCATGTTAAAATAAGCATTCAAGCCCCAAACTCCCAGACCTGAATATTGAAGCAATTATTTCTCTTCTAACATGGTTTTTGAAAACTGTGACAAAAAAATTCAGAATAAGAAAGTCCTAATAATCAAAATGCACATTTGCCTTGGGTTTAACTTACTTTCTTCTCTATCACTTCTCCTGTAGGAGCTTTAATGGAGAAATCCATAAATGACTGGCTTAGAAACAGAAAAGCTTCCTTGGAAAGAATGCCAAAAACCTGGCCAGAGGCAGGACTTCCGTTGGGAACTCAATATACATGTGCACAAAACACAGGATAACCACTCCACCTGCAAAGGCTACGTAGGCAATTCCGTAGTAGTTCAAGTAGTTTCCATTCTTACAGTTTAACTGCAATGTGCTTTGGGGAGTGGGATTGACTCAATTCCTGCAATTTAACCACTCATAACAAAGGCCATCAGCAGCACCTGAACATTTCACTTAGAAATTCCATCCATCTTCATTAGTAAACAAAAGTGGTTTTTCTCCATTTCAAATACAATCCTAAATAGTGAAATAATGGCTTAAAAATTGTAATTATTACTCACTGGGATTCTGCAAATGCTGGTGTCTCAATTCTCTTTTTCCACAGAACTACTAACAAGACCATATAGATAGTAAGGACCTCATCAGAAACGAGCGCTTGTATTATCCAGTTTCAACACTTCATTTTGCAGAATTACTCCCTTCCTGTGTAATTTGCAGTGATGCTTAGCTAGCTTCCCAAACGGCTCAGTGTCCACTTTGCCTAACTAGCTTCAGTTTTTTCCAGAATTTAATTGTTCCCGCAAAATCACTTCCCTGATACATAGCCCAAGCTTCTCTTTTTCTGTGTGTTTCTATGTGAAACCGCATTTCTGAGTAAATACAGTGACAGAGACACAGCAAAATGCCTGCAGAGGAGAAAAAACAGCTCCAACAGCTGAACTGAGAGAAGCTAATTCACTAATATTTCACAGAATGTGTCACCCAAAAGCATTGGAAAAGAAATAAATCATCACAACTCATACACTCTGCTATTGCTCCGTCCATTCTCAGTACCCAGACCTTCGATATTCCCTCCTAAGAAAGTTAACAAAACTTAGTGTGCCTCAAACATACGAGGCCAACATTACCTGTATGCTTTAAAGCTCCTGTTTTGTTGATCAGCGAGCCTGTAGATTGGCTAGTCCATAAATCACTGTATTTCTTTTCACTCTTCAAATACAGCATATGTCCAGGTTTGATGCAGTGATTCCTGAAACAAAAATTACCTTGGTTGTAAGAGCAGAAATGTATTGCTGAGCTGCTGTAAAATTTTTTCTATGATATCTTTTGCTTTGTTCACCAAAAAAAAAGAAAAAAACCCAAACAAAAAGAAGGATAGCAGTGATTTTATTATGAAGACAAGACTCCCCAGTGCATAGGCATGGGAATGCTATTTATTACTGTGAAAAACCAGTGCCATGACAGGAAGAGTCGCAGGCTCCCAGTTTCAGTGTCTGTGCAGAGGTTTAGGTACAGCTGGTCCTGTCTCAAGTGGGGTCAGCTCTGCTCCTGTTTTAATGATTCTATGGTGGTACTTTAACAACTACCTTTTTTTGACACGGGGAACTGGAGCACTGATATCTAGAGATAAGATCAGTGCCCATCAGATGTTGCTGGGGATATCTTGCCACAAACTATCGACCTGTTCTTGCCACTCAGAGGACTCACAGTACCGTTTCCCATTCAGCAAGGCAACACTAGCATTCATTATAAGCATTTACTCCAGCAACAGCCATCTTTGAGAGACTTCAAGGTCAATTTTTGATGGATGAGTTGCAATATTAGATCAGATGCAGAACGTTTAAAGTTTAAAAGTATTATTGCGCTGTGGTCTTGCAATACATTAGGAACACATTGTCATAACAATTTCTCCCAGATTCCATTAGGGATGTGGGTTATAAAATATTTCTAATTACAAGTGGGACTATGTATGTAGCCAGCTTTCTTCTCAGACACATCAGCAGAGAAGGCTGATGTGATACAGCCTCTACCCATGACAAATCCGTGTCTGTCACAGAGGTTTCCCACAGTGATGGACGGACTTAAGACAACAATGCAGCCAAAGACCAAGTTACGATTTTTCATATTTGATATGTCTTCATTTCCTCTTTCTTACTCCTGCCTCCTCAGGGATTCTGCAGATCCAGTAGGAGATTGCTCACCTGCAATACAAAACCCAGGGTCTCCACCTACGAACTCTATTTATTGATGTCACTTCTGTGAAAGCTCTGGGGGTGGTTGCTTACATTCCACCCCCACCACTAATCCCTTCCTCATATCCTTACCCTGCCCTAGCTACTGCGTCACTCCTTTTCCCAGCTGCCTTTCTTTTTTCTCCCCTTTGCAAACATGCCTGAAATAATAACCAGTGGAAGCAAACCATCCCTCCTGAGCAATGTTTGAATGCACGTACCTCAGTTATTGTCAACACAACAGCCTTTAGCACGCTGAGAATTACACAACTGAAAGCTGTCAGTCAGCTTTTAAAGGAGTAAATGATCTGGACTTAACAATAGTAAGCAAACAAAAGGAAAAATGTAGAACAAGCTACTGTATGGAATTTGTTGCTTGTATAGTGCTTAAAGGAACTCTCTTTTTTTAATGTAAACAGCACTGGCACAAAACATCTCTGTTGTAGTGCCAGAGGTATAAGGAATTCAGTGTCCTGCCTACAAAACCAGGCATTACATTGTCATTAAATAAAGCTGTCCTTAACTGTGGGGTCAAACAAAAATTTAGTTCTTCAGTTCCTTGTGTGGACTGAGGGAGCAAAGGTGTAAAAAGAGATCAAGTTTCTTTCCATTAGCAACAAGTGCTGTCTGTGGTTAAGGAGATGACACCGAACAACTGGTACAAAAAGACTGCAAATCACCAAAATCAGGGGAGGTCACAGGTGTGCAGCATCCTGACAAGACAGGTGTTTTTCAAGCTATCAGGCACAGGACAGCTTCAAAAGCACTCAAGTAGTTCCAAGCACATGAAAACAAACCATATCATACATGTTTTACTCTTCAGGAAAACTTTCGTTTAAAACCATTATGGACTCTTGTGGATTCCTTGCAAGAGCTTCCTAAGGGGAGGTCCATTCTCTGCTTCATGGCTAAAACCAGCTGTTCCCAAGGCTGATATAATATTAGTCCTCTCTTTTGACTCAAGAGCTCATATCTTTCAAATATATGCAGATTATACTTATATCCCACTGTTTCGGAAATAGTCTTTACAAATTGTTTTCACACATCAGTTCGCTCAGTCTCTACATAATTTTTGGCTTTGTCCTCAAAATCTCAGAGCTGCAGAGAATTTCCAAACTCAGAGCTCTGAAGTAATTCTGAAAATTGTAAACATCGATTAAATTGTAAAATGTTTCAGAGATAGAAATTACCTTTTATCTAGAGGCAGCCCCAATACACAGAGTAGCCACCCTGTCATGACATAAAGCACCACTTGCAGTTCCTCTGCAGCAATTGCACCTCAAAAGCACAACACAGTAGGTGGTGCAGCTGTAATAAAAATCGTTAATTCCACTTGCAAGCCATGAAATAAGTTTGGTTTTCAAACAAAATAAACTTTATCAGGAAACCAGCCATTCCATTGCAAGAGCCACCACATACCCATTATTAATTGCATAGGATTGATCATCAAGGCCTTGTCTAAAGCTGAGCTCAGCCCAGCCAGTGCAATGCCTTGCTTTGTTTGCATATATCATGTCTGCAAGTCTGCTAAGCCTGGTCTCACAAACCCTACGAGTGTCTGCCCAAAGCAAACAACACATTGCATATCTGTTTATAAAGTATAAAAATAAGAACCTAGGGAATGAACTGGTAGTTACTGCTTAAGAAACAATAGCCCTTTCTGTCCTCAGCACGGTGACACTTCATAAACACCCTCTTCTTTTTGAGGAAGAAAAACCAGTGCCCTGCAGGCCCAGAGGGAGGGCAAAGATAATGCCAGAGAAAGGAGGCAGATAACAGGAAGATTTTTTTCTGTAACATTTCTACCATATCATTTATGAGGCTTTTTTTTTTAATTAACGGGTATGTTTGACCAGAGTAACAAAACACTAACTAGACTAATGGTCTTTGCTTGGTTCAACTCACGTGCTTTATTGCCTGTTGCCCTTAACAAGATTTTCAATGTAACACCACTCAGGTTCATTTCTAAGACATTTCTCTTCTTTCTTCATTCAACATCTTCTGGCAATCAAACCCTGGTGCCTCACACTGCTGAAAGTTTTACAAAGTTTTCAGGACTGTGGTTGACTTAAAAATTTCTTATCATATCACAGTAGGTGTAAGAAAGCTCAGTTGGCATAATTTGTCAGCTGAGAACATAAAAACAGGTCACATCAATAAAAAAGTGTGAGATGCTTCCCTATAAACATGAGTAGATCCAGACAGAGAACCATGGGCAGCTATCAATTATTTAAGGGAAAATCTGCCTGGAGACAGCCATGCCAAGCACTTGAATCCACCTTAATGGTGGAAGTAGACACATCTGTCTGGGGACCTCAAACCCTTTATGAGTAACACTCATGATACACAGAGAGCAAACCCTGAGGAAGGCTGTAGTGAGTGAGGGGGGTCAGGGGGAGCTCAGCCTGCTGTGGCTGCTGTGGGTTAGCAATGTACAGGACACATGGTGAAAAGTCAGGACTTCAAGGGGTCTGGCCTAAGTTAACACTTCCGTGTCACAGCTGCTTGCTTTAAGAGTGCTCACGTTAAAAGGCCTAGTGAAAAGTTAAGTGAGTAATATTGCAGGCTGGAAAAAGCCCTCCTTTAGACAAACTGATTAACTAGGAAGCCTCCAGCAGCCCTTCTTGGATGCATTCCCAGGGAAGTCTCTCGTGTTCCAGCTATTCCTCATCCTAGATAAATAAATGAATACAAAACGTTACTCGAACATGGAGAAAGTTGTTTTCAACAACTGATAGGAAGAGTTTTGATAATGGTGTAGTTCATATTAAAAATACAAATATCTCAGCATTGAAAGAGAGGACACCATTTCTCAAGCTGTATTTGCTCTCAGCTTAACAGACCATTCCAAAGACATTTTGAAAGCAGATGGGAATATGGGATACTGCAGAAAACCTTACCTCTAAAATAATTTTTTCCCTCTGTCAATATTCCTTCACGATAACTTGTGAAGTTTATGGAAAACAATTTATTTCAAGCAATCATAGTTTGAAAATATTCAAATCAATTCACACTTCTGTGTTTTTATAGGATATAAAACTTTCTTTTCCATGAGGTATTGTACTTTTTACCTGGAAGCACAAGCTGCATCAACATTTGTCCAAAAGACAACTGTCAAAGCAAAAGGAAATCACACACACCATCCAAACAAATTGCAGTTACAGAAACTTGGAGGCAAAAGCTGCACAAGATGAAAATTGGGGGGGGGGGAGTGAGACAAACAAAAAAGGATTTAATGGGAAACAAAAGAGGAAAGACTAGAGAAAAGGAGAAGAAAGAAGTGAACACTTAGAAGAAAAGAGAACTCTGGCAATTCACAAGCAGAATGCCTGACAGGAGAGAAGCAGAAAATTTGGCGGCAGACCTTGAAAGCAAAGCCCTGGTGGGACTGAGATTGGGAGGAGAGGAGGAGAGGCAAAGAGAGAAGGAGAAAAGGGGAGGGACAGATGAGCTGCAGTCTTGTCTGGCCACAACACAAAACCCTTCCCAGCCACATGTGTTGTCATGGCTGGCAGGCAATGCAGATAAATACAGCTCCTCAAGATTTGTGCAAGCACCAGTTTGTGGGGTGAAAGCATCTGCAGTCCTTATAGAAGAACCCAAATGAAGTTAGAATAGGAGGGTTCTATTATGATTATGTCTCTAATTTTAGAGCTGTAACAATGGCCGAGATCTATATGATGGCCCTTGCTCTTATTCTGGTGCCCTCCCACCACTTCCTGCTCTTCTGTGTATCACTGGCATGGCCAGAGCAGGTAGATGCAGAGTCTCTTGCCATTAGCTCCTACTTGGAATTCACACTGGAATGGAGGAGGCCTGCTTACACAGAGTGGGCTAGAGGGTACTTGCTGTGCCAAAATGCCCAAACCGCAAAGGGTGGAGGGAGCCGTGACGTGGGTTCCTTTACCAGGAAATTTAAACATTCCAACCCTGAGAGAACATAATGCACATGAGAGAGTGATCAAGCTGAATGGTCAGGGATAAATCTATGGGATTCTGGTAGTAACCAGCTTCATAG